CTTGTGGGACACTCTTGTGGGACACTCTTGTAGGACACTCTTGTGGGACACTCTTGTAGGGCACTCTTGTGGGACACTCTTGTGGGACACTCTTATAGGACACTCTTGTGGGACACTCTTAACTCTTGTGAGACACTCTTGTGGGACATGGTTGCGGGACACTCTTGTGGGACACTCTTTTGTGACAGGGACACTCTTGTAGGACACTCTTGTGGGACACTCTTGTAGGACACTCTTGTGGGACGGTCATACGGGACACTCTTGCGGGACACTCTTGTAGGACACTCTTGCGGGACATGCGGGACACTCTTGTGGGACACTCATACGGGACACTCTTGTGGGACACTCTTGTGGGACACTCTTGTAGGAGACTCTTGTGGGACACTCTTGTGGGACACTCTTGTGGGCCGTCACTCTTGTAGGAAAGTCTTGTGGGATACTCTTGTAGGACACTCTTGTGGGACACTCTTGTAGGACACTCTTGTGGGACACTCCTGTAGGGCACACTCTTCGTACGAGACTTCCTCCACAAGTCACGCTGCGAGGCTGCAAGACGAGCGTTTCGTACAAGACTTCCTCCAAAAGTCACGCGTCAAGTCTCAAAAACGAGCGTTTCATACGAGACTTCCTCCTAAAGTCACACGTCAAGTCTCCAAAACGAGCGTTTCGTACGAGACTTCCTCCAAAAGTCACATGTCAAGTCCCCAAAACGAGCGTTTCGTACGAGACTTCCTCAAAAACTCTGTCAAATTCTGCAAAACGAACGTTTCGCACGAGACTTCCTCCAAAAGTCAACCGGAAACACCCATCGGAGCACACACATCGCGCCGCCAAGCAGTTTCGCGATTCCAGCCCCTCCAAACGACACCCGCTCACACGCCAATCCCAATGCGACAGCGACATTCACCTCTACCACAACTCACAACCTCCCGATTCCCTGCGCCTGCCACGAATCTTTCCGCGTCCACACGTCTAAGGCACACAAAGTACTGCGCCTGCCACGAAATGTCAGCTCCGTCACACCTCGCAACCTCACGATTCCCTGCGCTTGCCACAAGAATCGCCCTTCCACACCTCAAAAGCCGCACAAAGTACTGCGCCTGCCACGAAAAGTGACAATATCATCTCATGTGAGCTTCAACAAAATTTGCACCACACCACACGTTTGGAATGATTTCGACCCGTTCTGAGCACACTCCCAGAGTCCAAAATCGCCATTTCAGCTGAGACTTGTCACGAAAACAGAGCTTCGATGCCACACCCTGAAACGCAAATCCCAATGGCACGGCCGCATCCAACACCCCAAAAACACGACTCTCCAAACGCTCATCCCAATGGAACTGTGTAGCAAACTGCGGATCTCACAAAACGCTGCGCCTGTGCAGCGAAATGCATCACGCTTCTTGCGCAACATGTCCTTTTCAAAAAAATCACAATGGAATAGCGGCGCAAACTCACACGTTACACATCCATGGATAGTCACTTGCAAAAGCTTCCCCCAATGGCAGCGCCTTAGCGCTCTACCGCGGACGGTTGCGAACGGTTGCGGACGGTTGCGAACGGTTGCGGACGGTTGCGGACGGTTGCGAACATATAGAAACAACGGGTCGCGAACAAGGCTCCACCCCCAGACCCCCAAGAGTTAAACGAGAACCCTTTTCGCTACGCATTCGGGAAAAAACATCGAAAAAACTCAAAAAATCAACTGGAAAAGTCAAAGTCAAAACAAATCAAATTGAACAGTCAAAAAAATCAAAAACAATCGAAACAAAAGTCAACCATAGACCACCGCTCGAAAAAGATTAAAACAATCAAAGCAAATCCAAAAATATCAAATTCAAAAGTCAAATTCAAAAAACAGCTCGAAAAAAATCCAAAAACACATCGAAAAAATCAACCGCTCGAAAACGTCAAAAAAACACGGCAAAAAATCAAAAAATAATCAAAAAAATGGGATCTGCGCAGATTGATTTTTTTGACTTTCTGAATTGTTATGATTTGATGCGTTTTTGACTTTGACTTTTGGGATTGTATTTTGTTGTTTTTCTTTGTCTTTTCAATTTCGAAAACAGGCTCTTTTCAATGATGTTTTTTTATAACTGTAGACATCTTGACAAGCTGGCAAGCTGTTTCGCAATGCGCAAGTGCCAAACAAATAAAGGACACTCACACAGTTGAGCGGGGTTGTATGTCACATACAATCCACAAGAATCCGAAATGCATTAGCTCTACTGCAAAACGAACTGTAAAGGCTTGACACATCTTGACACGGATACACGCGCACGCACACACTTCGATAGAAAGTTCTGGTGGAGGAACATAAATTTCAGTGTGTTGCCTGTCACGCAATGCCCTTGACTGGCTACTTAGTGCAGAACCGAAAGGTGAAGAGTCAGTTCTCTTGAATGTGCTTCAACAAACGCAGTCTGCGGTTCAGAACACACGCGCCAGACTCTGCGAAGAAACGGCGGCTCAGTTGTGGTGGGGGAAGGTTGGTGTCACCACTTGTGCAAAAGTTCAACAAGCATAAGCAGGTACATGGAACTGGCCAAGTCCCATATCCCGCGATATCACCCAGCTTCGTTGGTCAAGGTTGGTGATATCGCGCCTTAGACGGGGTGTGACACGCACACATGTATGCGCGTACAATATGCACTTTAAGATGTGCACATTGTACATCGATCATTGTGCCTCATCCATAGGAACCAAGCCACCAACAAAACTGGATGCAGCAAAACAGTCACTTGTACTTGTACTGTATAGGTGTTGGATAGTTTTGGTGGCTCTCAACTCTACCATAATATACTTTAACTGGAGCAAACCCGGTCATCACTCGGCCTTCTTGACCTCCTTCTTTGGGATTCAGCCCACCCTTGCAGCCTTCTTGACCGCCTTGGCTGTGCAATAGATACATGGAGCGGGGTGCAAACCCAGTATCCTATAGGTCTGAACCAGCAAAGCCAGAAGTGCCAAGGAATGCAAAAGGCAAACCATCATTGAGTTGACATGTGAAACTTGTGGCACTTGCAGGAGCTCGTTGCGCAGCACCCGAACGTGTTTCAATACTTTCAGCCGGGGCCAAGCAGCGAGTGCACGCCACTTGCCTCGGAGAAGTGGAAAAAGTTCGGGTGTCACGGGCACGGTATATGGACCTGTATGGACCGAATGCGAGTTAGTTCCCAGATTCAGGAAACCATAAACAATATTGTTTGTCCTAGTCTTCCGCGACCACTAACCTTTAGTGTACGTCCGACCCCTTGGAGAGCAACAAGTAGCGCGCCTGCCACGCAAATCACATCGGCAAAGCTGCGGCGACCAAGCA